GTGTTCTCATTTATCGAACCCTGAGGGATGAAAGTTTGAGTTGACCTATGACCAGCTACCCAGAAACTAACCCGGGTTGATAGCTTTCAGAAATCAGACATTGCCAACAAGAAGCTTATCTGTATAAAAATTGTAAAAATATTTTACATTTAGAAAAAAAAATTCTGTATATTAAAATATTTTATTTCAGAAAAAACATAGTTAAAAAGCCACTGTTTTTCTTTACATATTTTTAAAATAGCACGGATTTCACTTCAAGTGAAATCCGTGATTCATATAACTACTTAATTATATTTATTGCTCATTTAATATTTTTATACATTTCAAAAGTTTTAACTAGAATTTAATTTTCTATGGTAAACCTAACTTGAAAAAGGGGACATGTTATGTGAATTTTTGCAGGACATGTTCCTTTTTTCAAGTTAGAGATTCATATGTAAGTTCACTTAACTAAAGTTTTAAGTACTTCTGTGGTTACAAGAAACATTTAAGAAAGTGTGAAATAAATTTAGACAGTTAAAACTTACATTTATCCATATTAGTATATTTTTTTCCTTGATTTTTCTTACATAAATTAATTTAGAATCTCTTCAAAATCTAGACTTTTTGTAACTTTGCTTTTGATAGACATTAATGCCACTAATCATCTTCATTTTCACTGTTTTCTAGCTCATTTATGAAGTTCTGAATTTCTGATTTTAAATGAAACATTGTCAGTTTTGTCCTTATTTTAAATTACATCTTGTCATCAATAAGTTTTTTTATAATTTATTTGTTTATAAATATTGTAAAAACTTAATTTAAATTTATATCGAAAAATTTCATTTATATTCCTTCAAGAAACTTTAAAGGGATCCCAAACTCGCGACACATGTTGTGTTCATACTAGAGATGTTAAAAAAAAGGTTTGAACCAAGTTTTTTAGATAAAAAAAAGGAATACTGAGAAAAGCTAATTTTGTTGTTTTAGTCGAAGCTCACCTTCATTTCTTTAAATTATATGTCTTTAAATTATACGTTGCAATCTACAGACTTCAGTAATTCCTTTGAAGAAAAAACAAAGTTTTCTTGTCTGACATTCTGAACTACTCGCAAAACTTAGCGCAAAAAAGTCAGACTTCACATCGTCTATTGTTTAGTAAAATTTTCATCAGGTGTTTTTACATATTCTCAAAATTTAACTTATTTAGCCATGTGAAAATATATTTAAATTTATTTTGAATAAAATTTGTATTTCATATTTTGTTTTATTTACAAAATTGTAATTATTATGACTAAAGACTGCAAAATTGTGAACTATTGTAGAGTTTATTGGAAAACTTGTCAGTTTAGTTAGTTTTTTAATTTTTTATGTAAAGAGACAAATGCCAAATATGACACATAAATTGGAAAATACCAAATATGATATGTTTTTAATGCATGTTATGACATTTTGACAATTTAAATTAAATCAGCCTGATTAAAAATTTTTTTATAATAAAAAAATTTAACAGTTCATCAAATATCTATAGTTAATGCTGTCAGTTAATGAAATTAATTGTTAATAAATAACAATTGTTAACAAAAAACGTTATAGGGTAAAAATGACCAGAGAAGTTAGAAAATAGTTCCCATTGTTTAAATGAAATTAACTAAGATTCAGAATATATAAAACTCTTGCACAAAAACGAGAGCCTATACATATAACATTCTATATAATAATAAGTACTTGTATGAAAATCATAAGATTGGTAAGTTTTAATATTTGTTTTAATTTAAAAACAAAAGAAATATAAGTAAGATATATAAATCTAAAAATTATTAAGATATCTGTAAAAAATAAGTTGCTTCTATAAAATAAAAATAGTTTATTATTTTTACCTTTTACAATTTTTTTTTGCGATGTTTGGAAAAATGATAAATTTGTTTTGCTATATGTTAAAAAAAGACTACAACATGTTTTTAAATAAAAGCAGAAAAGTGCAGTTTTTTATGACAAATACTAAAACTTTTATGAATTAAGTGCGCTTTAAAGGAATTACCGAAGTCTGTAGATTGTGACCTATAATTTTAAGACTTTGAGTTTTTGAGTAAAATCGAGAAGGTGAGTATTGACTAAAACTACAAGATTAGTTTTTTTCAGTATGCATTCAGTATTTTTAATCAAAAAAACTTGGTTCAAACCTTTTTTTTTCAACATTATCTTTAATACGAACTCAACATGTGTTGTGAGTTTGGGATTCCTTTAATGAAGATACTGCAAAACAGAGGTGCAGAATTGATGTCTAAGATTAATATTATGATTAAAATATATGCAATGTATACATGCATATATTTTGTATACATACATATGCATTGTTTACAAACAAATATAATTATTAGGATTGTAAGATTTTTAATTTTAAAATGGTCATTGTCTTGTCATGACAATGAGTCAATATCATTAAGTCGAAGTTTTCTGAGTATTTATAGGTCTCGGAATTGTTATTCTTGTTTCTGAGTATCTTTGCTAAGAGATCTTTTTTAACACAAACTGCTTTTACTGGTAGCAAACGATAACAAAAAATTACCTAATAAAATACTTAATGAACAATGTTTACTCAAAGTTGATTGAAAAGTGGATCAATGTCAATGCTGTATTTGTGCATTCTGTAACATATACAGAACATTACATTACTGCAACATTGAAGAGTGATTAGAATGTAGTTAATTTGGTAGCCAGGAGAAAAAAAGGATAAAAATAGACTTTTCACTAAGCTAAACAGATTGATATACTGAAAATATAACAGGCAAATTATTATTTATCAAGAAAGAATTTTGTTTATCAGATTGTTATAATAAAACTTACATTTAATGCAGGTGTAAAAGAAGATTCCCAAAAAACTTAAAGTAAAGTTTACTGGTCAATAACGAATTGTATTGTTTTGTTTTTCTTGCATAAAAAAACCAAATAATACCTCACCACAAAAGCTGCATTTCAACTAGTAAAACAGATAATTTAATTTAACTATCAGACCATGGTAAAGACATCTCTTGAAACATTCAAAACTAGCCCATACATCAGTTCAAACAAACACAAGCAATGATAAAATGTTGAAAACTTAATTAAAAACATAAAAACAAAGAATAAATGTACTAAGAAAATTAATTTGAAGTTTATCAAACAAAAATATTGTTTTGTGTTATACAGCCCTCTGAATAAGAAAAAATTTGTTGACATTTAATTGCAGACCTTAAACTATTTTTGTTAACATCATTAAGTTGATCACATCAAGGGATGTCTTTACCATGGTCATCAAGGGATGTCTGTACCATGGTCTGAAGTTATTTGCAAACTTGTTTACCAAGAGAAAACTGGGAAAGTTTTTGAGATTATCAAATCATTTCTTTCCAACCGGTTTATTAAAGTCATCCTTGAAGACCAACACTCTTCTTTATTTCCAGTAACTTCTGGGGTTCCCCAAGGTTCCATCCTGGGCCCTGTTTTGTTTCTTATCTACATAAACGATCTTCCTGACAACCTTTCATCTAAAGTAGCTCTTTTTGCTGATGACTTAACTTTATACTCCTGTCTTGACAAAAAGTCTTCTCTTTTTGATCGCCTAGAACAAGCAGCTGATCTTGAATCTGATCTCACTTCAGTAATAGATTGGGGTTCACAGTGGCTTGTGAATTTCAACTCTAAAAAAACCCAATTGCTTACTGCAAACAACTACCGTAATATGGTCAACATTCCTATATTAATGAATGGCAATCCTCTTACTGAGTCCTCCTCTTTACGTCTTCTTGGATTATCGCTTACTACTGACCTTTCATGGAAACCATATATACAATCGATTGCTAAATTAGCTTCTGCTAAAGTTGCTTCTCTTTATCGTGCTCGCCATTTCCTTACTTCTGATTCCATTCTCTACCTCTACAAATCTCTTATTCGTCCCTGTATGGAATACTGTTGTCATATTTGGGCTGGTTCTTCTAACGATTCACTTTCTCTTCTTGACAAGGTCCAAAAACGCATTGTAAATGTTGTTGGACCTGGACTATCTGCTAAGCTTGAACCTCTTTCCCATCGTCGTAAAGTTGCATCTCTTTCTCTTTTCTACAGATACTATCATGGTCACTGCTCAAAGGAGTTATCATCTCTAGTTCCATCAACTAAAATTCATTCTCGTTTTACTCGTCATTCAGCTAAGTCTCATTTGTTTACTGTATCTGTCCCTGCATGCTCTAAAAACTTTCATTCATCTAGTTTTTTTTCCCCGCACTTCAATCCTTTGGAACTCTCTCCCATCTTCATGTTTTCCTGACTCATACAACCTTCAACTTTTCAAGTCTTCTGTCAACTGTTTCCTTGCTCTATAACTCTGTTCTTTTTTTTTCCTAGTAACTCCCAACTTAATAGTGGTTGCTTGCAGCCTTGTTGGGAGTGAATGCAAATTTAAAAAAAAAAAAAAAAAAAAGCAAAAATTTAATTATTAAGGTTTTACCATTACAACATATAAACAAGGTTAGCTAAAAATTGCCAACCTCATACTTTTATGATGGCAGTTAATTTGGCATTGTTGAATGCCAACCCTTTTTCTGAAGACCTATTACATTTTTTAATAAATAATATGTATGTTTCTTGTATATGTAATTTTTTTTTTCTTTCTGAGTATTCAAAAGAAAATTTTTTATTGAAATGTTTTAATAACTTTATTTGATGCATTTTTGATCAGTTTCCTAATTGAATTTCTTTGCTTGATGCTAACATTTAAAATAAATATACTATGAGTACATCTTTTTTTACCAAAACATTTTTACTACTTTAATTCATAAATTTTTTTTTAATTTTCCAGTGACTGTATTTTTAGTAAACATTTCCAGTAAACATCTCCAGTAAACTCCCATAACTGTATTTCCAGTAAACATTTCCAGTGAACTGTTTTTTTACTATTTTTTATTATTCTACTTTCTTAATGCATATGTATAATAATTATATTTTTTATTTCATTTATCACAAATAATATTGTTTTATTATAGACTCGTAATATAAATGTGAAAGATAAACATGCTGTTAAGGAAGCAAACTGTTACTATGCTATTGAGTGTGGTGGGTAATTGTTTTAGGTTACACTAGTGAATTTTAAATATTACTGATTTTATTTTAACATTAATAATTGCAAAGATATAAATAATACACACAAGTTTTAAGTTTCAGCTGTTAAGAATTTGTTTTTAGAATTTGGTGAAATCTGCTTAACAGCAGGGTTTTATGCACATGGTTTGAAAAAGTTTATGTATGATCTACGAATTGACTTTACCATTTACTATTTTAGTTAATGATTTGTTTTGATTCAAAAATATTGAAACTTATTGACTTGGATTTTAATTTTTTTTAAGAAAAAAAGATGAAAATAATATTTTGTTCCAAATCAGTTTAAAGAAAAATCCCAGCAATTTGCATTGGCAAATTATTTTAAAAAAATGATTTTTTAAATTTTTTCAATTAATAAAAAATTTAAATGAAGCAACTTTTTTTTAGGAGTCTTTAAAACAATTGCAATTAACTCTTAGGCTTATTAGTTAACTCCTAATAATATATCATCCTTCAAATATTTAGAATTTATGCATTAGTCGATTAAGATTAAAAAGCTTTAAAAATGCTTTTTAATACTTATTAGAATAAACTGTCTATTCACATATGGAATCTAAGATGCTTATTTAATCTGAGGTGGCTAAAGATTTTTTCTTTAAGTGTTCAGATAAGAATAAGTTGTGACTAATACTTTTCAAAATCAATGTTACTAGTTTAAGTGAACTCATCGTATCAACAATCGTAAGAGCCAGGCTAGATCTGAAATTAGTTGCAAAGATAGATGTGTTGTCCTTTTCTGTGAGGTGTTTATAGAGTTAACTAACAGGTGTTTATATACTCATAGTTTTATGTGTTTTAATGAAATGTTAATCCTGAATGTAAAATCATAAAGGAAAAGAACAAAAACATTAATAAGGAAAGAATAAAAACATAAAAAAAAATTATTTGATTACAAATTGAAATTTGTTGATGGTTTCAAAATCAATACTTAAAGTTATTGTTTTACAAACATCTGCATTTGTTTTTTGAAGTTTTTCAGAATTTATTTGTTTTTATTTACATAACAATTGTTTTACATTACATGTTTTTCACTTTACAGCAGACATTAATTTGTTGGATTTCTGGAAAAGAATATTTTATTTAAACCTAATTGATGCGCATTTTTTATGTGGCATTTTTATAACTATTGGTAACCAGCCTTTAGTTTTTTAATTTTTACTGAGTTTTAGCTGTTTCTAAGAAATATATCAATAAATTAATTAAATAATATATATATAATCATAAGTAATGTTGTTAGATAATAAAAGGTTGTGCTGTTGGACTAGCAAGTAAAACAAGGGGGAATAAATAATTAATGTTTGTGTTTAGATCAGAAAAATATTCAGTATTTTAATTATGGAATTGTTTGAACATTTCGAACTCTTAATAATCTTGAAATTTTAAAATAACTTGAGTCTTATAATTTTCCAAATCTTTACTATAAAAAAGGAGTTATTAGGTTTGGGAAAAGAACTCTTAGTGTTTTTATCAAATTTTTATTTAAATAAAAATATATAGATTCAAAAATGGATTAAAAACAAATTTTGAATATAATTAAGCATAATTAAAAACAATAGATTAAACAAATGTGTATTTGCAGTTGCTGTTTATGCCTTCCTCCTGCCTCTTACTTGATTTGTTAATGCCATTCCACTAAAAATTGCTTGGTATGGCATCGAAGAAATTGTTTAGCCAGTTTTTCGTGAAAGGACCCAGGAGTATGGTGTATGATAAAGGACTTATCATCAGAGCTCTTGGAGTGTGACTTTGATTAGTTGTAGGACCTTCTAGGATATGTAATGCTTTCCTGAATTTCCCAGTGCACCATGCTCCTTCAGTCCCACCAAATGAAAATCATGGTATTTTTTGGATAGAAGTTAGGCTTGACTCACAGCTTTTGTGTATCTTCTGGAGCCACTTACTACTTTTTTGGCTTCATATTTATTAATACAAAGCAAATTAAGGAGTAATGTCAACATTCAAGTCAGCATTTTTGAACTTTACAAACCATATGTGCTGTAGACTTGTCTATGGCATCTTTTTCATTTACCTTGCAAATATCAGAGCAGCTATAAAAAATGAGCTCTATCGAATGAAAATCTTAATTAAAATTGTTTCAAACCATGAGATTTTAATTTGAACAAAATTGTATTAAAAATCTCAAACCTTGAGATATCAAGCAAAAGCTTGTTAAGTTGAATCAAAGTTTTTTATATAATAAAAATGCCTCTGTATTAATTAACTTTGTTGCTTTTTCTCCTTAATCTTATCAGTATTTTTAAGAGCATTTACATGCTTCTTTTCTCTTAATAAATTCAACCATTTTTGGAATTGATACATATTACTTTGATACTTTTTTTAGCTGTTGCATTAACAGTTTCATTCATAATCAATGTGTTTGTTGTTGGTGTGTTTGCAATGGTGAGATGATATTATTATTATTGTTTTTGCAATGTAATAAATAAATAGTTCATTTTAATATGAGTTTTAAATCATTTTTCAAGTAATTTTACAGTAATTTTTAAAATTAGCTGCTATTTATTTTTCAAATAAACCGTGATAAAAACAAAGAAATCATTGCAATATTAATTTCGCACTAAATTTTATTTAAAAGTTTTTTTTGAGGCCATGTACAGTTTTTAAAAAGTGTTGCTCTAATTTTTCTGATGGCTCAAATTTTAATTGATTTACAATTATATTTATTTCTCATTAAAATTCATTTGTGATTTTAGTTTTAAAGCTAAATGAAAATTTTTTGACTTTCTGTGAAACTTAAGCTTCACAGAGAAATTTGAATACAGCCTTTAGACATTTATGATAAGTAGTATTTAATATTAGTAAATCTATTCTGTATAAATATTTACGATTAATAATAATAATAATAATAATAATAGTAATAATAATAATAATAATAATAATAATAATAATAATAACAATAATAACTAGCTGTCCGGTCCTGCAAAATGTGGGACAGGGTAAGTCTGTTGCACAATGACAATTTCTATACTTATTCTGAATATAGTCACTTTACTTCAATGTTTTTTGATAAACAGTAGAAATACTATTCATTTAAAAATCTAGGTTTTAGGTCAACAACTTAAAGTTTCTTTAAAACTTTTTATAAAAAGTGCAATAATAAGTAATACATATTTTTTTTTTTACTTTTTTTTGCGGACTTGACCATGTTTATTTATTTCTAAAGAAAATGTTGTCATCTAAGATATAAAATAGACAATTTTTTCTAAAGAAAAAATTGTCTATTTTATATCTTAGATGCACATATTTACCTAATTGGTTATGTAAAAATGTTAAATATTATTTCTAACACGGATGACAATTGCGTGGCGTTTCTCCCAGTGATTTTCAAAATTTATAAATAAAACCCCTCTCCTTTAAATTAATTTAGCGGGTGAGAAAAGTTATTATATTTAAAAGTAATCAAGATTTTAAATCAAGAGGAACTTTTACCAATTGTTTATTTATTTACTTATGTAAGTATATAAGTATATTTATATATGTATATATATATATATATATATATATATATATATATATATATATATATATATATATATATATATATATATATATATATATATATATATATATATATATATATATATGTATATATATATATATATATATATATATATATATATATATATTTTAATCGTGTTCTACCTTGAGTAACGTAATGCTACATTTTAATTCAGTGCTGGGTATTTAAAAAAAAAAAATCATGCACAGAAACTCGTATGTTTTGTCTATTTTTTTCATGATAATAAAATTGGCAATCTTCAATTTACTCTTATTTGATTCTAATCTATATAAATTTTGTTTACAAAGAATGGTATTCATTAGAATAAATTAATTTTGAAACAGAATCGCACACTTAACAGAAAAATGCAAGTTTTAGCTACTAGAGAAATTAACTTTAATTCCTTGAAAAATATAAGAATTACAGCAAATCGTTTAAATCCAGTTCATGTATGGTCACGCATTGGAAGTCAAGAAAGTTGAAAATTTGTTGATTTCATTTAGTTATTTTTATGAAAATAAATTGCTTGTGAGTATTTCAAGTGAAATATATTTCTACAACTTATATTTAATATATTTTCAATGAGAAATAGCAGTCATCAAATATTTCTAGTTAGAGTATAGCGTTTAAAAATTATTGTTTATTTTTTAAATTATTGTAACACTAACACACACACACACAAAATAAAATGATAAAAATATATATTTAAATATTCAGGTAACCTAAAATATGAAAAAAATGTTTTTGTTAGAGTTATTCTTTAAGAAAATCATAATAGTATGCATATTTCTATGAGCCTTGGATTCTAATTGTAAAAACAAAGAAAAATAAAAATGCAGATGCAAAGAAAAATAAAAACGCAGAAATGGAAATACCTCTGTTAATAGAAGTAAGAAAGAGTTTTACTTTAATTAAATTTAAGTTAAACAAGTTTTATTTTTAACTAAAATTTTTTATAAAAAATCAATTAAACAACTTTTATTTCCTCCTTCCTAATATCTTGAGTGAGTGTGATTTTATATTCTCATTACAAACTGAACAAGCGTTGTTTATTGTACCTAGAAGTTTTAAATATTCCATTTTGTGTTTTACATGCACAAGCCCTGTGCATATACTTTTTAATACCGGTATTTAACCAACACAATATTGGTATTTTGGTACTTAAAAAAGCACAGTAATACTGGTATTTCGGTATCGGTACTACCAGTATTGGATGCACTAGTACAGTGTTATTGTCTGATGGTGATTTTATTAGTACAGTTTTATTGTCTGGTGGATTAGATTTTATTAAGTTTATTTTATTTTTAACAACTTTTAAACTTATATGATATGTAAAATTTGTAAAAAATTAAAAAAACTTTTTATAAACTTTATATAGGGTCGTTTCCACACTTACCGTGAGTTTAACAAAAGTTATTATAATATGCTAGATTACTCAAAAAGTAGAAATTTATTAGAAATGAGTTTTTGCAGCCATCAATGTAGTACTATAAGGGTTAGTTTAAAATTATTCTCACTCTGAAATTTAAATTAATAATGTACTTATTTTGATCAAACTTTTAAAGCGCAGTTTTCCATACTTATCGTAAGTGTTTCACACTTATCGTATATATTGTTGACACTAATCGTATATTTAAAAATCTGCTTTAGTGACTGGTTTATAATACACTCGCGGTTTCAAATGAAAATTTAATGCATTAGTAACATTTTATTAAACGTTTTTAGGTATATAAATTAAAAAAAAAGACTATTAAATAAACACTAATTATATAGTAATGAAAATATTATTTTGAATTAAAGATTTTTAAAGCATTTCCATTACTTTAGTACAAATCTTTTAAACTGGAAAGGATAGAATTTCATCATAATTATCTGAGTCTTATATTATAATTATTGTTAACAATGGAACTTGTTTTCTGACTCAGTTTAAAGGTTTACTTTTTCTTTTGCGACTTTCTTTTTCTTAATCAAAATTTTCACGTTTTCTCTTTCTTTTTTAGTTTTTTCATTTAATAACTTTTTCTCCATAGCCATTTGTTTCTTTCTTAATCTTTCTTCCTCTTTTTTTGACTTTTTATCTGCAGCTAATTGTCTCTTTTTTGTTTTTTCATCATTTAATTGTGACTTTTCTTGCAATTTTGTCTTTTGAATTTGCTGCCACGTTTTAAATGTTACAACCAATGGTAAACGTTCTATTTTGCACTTGGGCATTTGGACTGTTTTTTTTGGCCATATTAAAACACTCTTAATTGGATTTATGATTTCTGCTGCTATTTTTAAACTAGTACAAGCTGGTTTTGGTTCTATTACCGCTGCAATATTGCAATCAGGCATTTCCATACCGGTTTTAACTTGCACATTTTCTAAATTACAAGTTGTTGATAGATTTTTATTACCCTTTTGTATTTCATCAGGTAAAATTGCGGTCTAATATGTTTCAGATGAGGCTCTTTTCCAAAAATAATACAGCTGGAGTAATTCAAGATCACCTTTCCAACCTAAATGTTCGTCAGCTATTTTAAACTGCTCTAAAATACTTGGATCAATGCAGTTTTCAATAAAGTTTATGGGAGAGGAAGAAGAATAAAGTCACATTTGATTGATTCTCTTCTAAATAAGGAGTCGGAGCCACAGTTGACTCAGATAATCTTTGAACAATTTTTGTGTAGTCCACACTATTAGCATCAAATGGAAATATTCCGGTATTTTTAAAAACACTTTTAACATTATTTGCCATAGAAGGATCGAATATAAATGAATTTAATTCTGGTACATTTTCATTGTTTATTTCTTGTCATTAATGGTCAATGCGCCATTGTTGGCTCAATGTGGCAATTTTTGGCGCCATTGGGCTAAAAACTGCCACATCGAGCGGCTACAAAAAATGTATTGCATTTGGGAATAAAGCAACAAAAATTATTCCATTTTTAGAGCAAAACTCACTAAGTTCGATAGAAAAATGTGACGCATGATATCAAAAAAAAAAATTAACTGGTAAAGGAATTTCTTCTTTTATCAAAATTGGATGAAAAATGTTTGTAATATACTCAAAAAAACATTCTGCGGTCATGCAACCATTTTCACTTTTTCCAATAACCCATCCTGATGGAGCAGTATTTCTATTTCTATTTGGAAGACGAACATATATAAAAATTGTTAATGATGGAGCTAAGGTTCCGCTGGAAATAAAGTGGTGATGCTTTTTTTATTACTTCGAGCACTTTCTTCATATGTATTTTTTCCTCGTTCACCAATTAATAAATTAGTTTTTGGTGACAACTGAAAACCACTCTCATCCATATTGAAAACGCGCATCGAATCATTTAAATATTGAGCGTTTTCTCCTAAAAGCTTTAAAATTTCAGTGAACCAATCTTTTATGGCTTTTTAAGTTATTCCTCCTCTACCTCGGTTTAAGTATTTACCTTGTTTTTGAGATTTTTGCTATTCGTGACGGCAAAGAAATGCATAAAACCAACCTTTTGCAGGACGGTTGTTAGTAAATTGTGTTTTTATATTGTTGGAATTCAAGTATTTTTGCACACTATCTAATAGCTGTACCACAGACATGGCAAATCCCATTCTGGTGCATCTTAGTAACCACTTGTCTAATTTAGTTTCAATGTGTTCATCTAGTACTGATTCATAACCGCAGTGTTGTATCTTCAGAGAAGTTTTTGCAGATATTTTATCACAAAGCATCTGATAAAGAATTCCAAACGTCTTGCTTGCTTTGTACACAACCATACCTTTTTAACAGCATCAATAGCATCTCTTAATTGACTATCTGTATATTGAAGTCTTCGTTTTGAGCTACAAACTTTTGTCTTATATTTTTGTCTTGTCATTGTAAAAGAATCTAAGTAAAATAATTTTTTTTTATGTAAAAAAGAACCAAGTTGATTATTTATTGGACATACGATATGTATGGAATGACATTTTTTTTGTTCATACTTATCGTACGTTCAAAAATACTACATTGATACTATAATGATGAGTGGTTTTAATGATATTAATAATGATCCATGTTTTATCTTGTTTTATTTGAAACGCTTCTAACAGCTGGTACTTAAAAAAAGTATTTTCATAGGCTGACGTAATAAACCCACTGAGTTTATATAAGTAACTATGTATTGCGGTTTCTATGTATTGTAATAGAAGTGCATGACGATGTTGTTGATAAACAAAATATATATTAAAAAAAAATAATTACTACTTATTGCAAAATTTATGTTAGTATTTAAAACCTACTATTTTGCATATTACTAGCCAATGACATAATTATTTATTTTATTCAAGTTAATTCTTAAAATAAATCAAGTATAATTACACATTACTAAATTGCACAGTTTAAGTAACCTGTTTAAGTTATATAGTTGTATTTTGTTTTTTTCTTGAATAAGTTTTTGATATTTTGTTTTTAATAAATCATTTCGTTATCATTTATATATAGATAATTTAATTTATTGTTTTTGTTTATATTTAGGCATTTTTTGGGAAAACTTATGGTGATGTCGTAAGATTTTTTATTAAATATAGTAAAACATTATATATAATTTTATATACATATAATAATATATATATATACATATATATATATATATATATATATATATATATATATATATATATATATATATATATATATATATATATATATATATATATATATATATATATATATATATATATATATATATATATATATATATATATATATATATATATATGTATATATATATGTATATATATATATATATATATATATATATAAATTAATAATAGTTACATTTAAAATTTATCTTATTTTTTTAGTATAAAAATTGCATCAAGAATAAAAACACGCATGCTGAGCTTTTCAACAAAACGGTTTAATTTTGTTTTATCTACTTTATATTATTAAGACTGTATCTAATATATGTCTATCTTTTATCTATATGTAGACATATCAATCTTGCTTTTTTATTTAAGCCAGGAGATATTATTGATGCAAATCTATTCTTTGGTGTAAGATGTTTTGTTTTGAATTTTTTAAATTATTTTAAATTTAAAGCCTAAATCTTAATAAGGATAATATTTAAATATGACAATTAATATATTAATAATATGTTATATTATTAATATATATATATATATATATATATATATATATATATATATATATATATATATATATATATATATATATATATATATATATATATATATGTATATATATATATATATATATATATATATATATATATATATATATATATATATACACTATTTTTAAGTATTGTTATATATATTAATATATATAATATTATTTAGAAATGATAATTAATTTTACTTAATTTTGTTGCTGATTCAGGGAATCTTTTTGGGCTGTGAGTTTGGTGATATTGCTATGTATATTTGGGCTATCGGTTTGCTTGCTGCCGGTCAAAGTTCAACAATGACTGTAAGATATCTTAAGTATTTGTTATCAAACAATGAACTGATAAATTTAATGAAACAATAAATATATATAATAAATATTTTTTCAAACTAAATGTTTAGAGTGATGCTAAAACAGTTAACAAGTTTTGTTTTGTTTTTATTTTTTTTTGTAATAATACATATCCTCTATGACAAATACCAGTATTTAAAATATTAGTGATATTAAAAAGATTGTCACAGATAAAACCATTTTTATCTTGAAGTGATCGGATGCAGTTATTTTTATTTTGCATGTTGTTGATATATTGAGTATTGACTTTGAGTATTGTTTTGCTCTGGAAACTTTGAGTATTGTTTTGCTCTGGAAACTAGGTTTTTCTCAAATTAATTTCTTGCATTCTTTGCTGCTTGTTTGAGCGATTTTTATAGCACTTTATAATCATTAATTTTGTCTTTTTATTTCCACCTACTTGCACAATTGAAGTAAAAATTATTTTGCTCTTTTTGAGCAAGATTGACGATATGTTTGTTGGACCATAGCTTAATGTGAGGGTGTCTAACCTTATACAGATTTTTAAATTCAAATATTATAGCAATATAAAAATGTTATACATTTCATCAATTGTTTTTTCATAAAATAACGGAGTCCAGTTCACATTGTCAAAGAAGGATTTCATATTTTTTTAATTTCCAAGGTTAAAAGCATATTTTGGCATTGTTTTGGAACTTGAACTATTATGACCTATTGAAAGAACTGACATCCAAGTTAGTACTAGGTAGCCTTTATCACAGTCTTCAAGCATCGGATCATACTTAAGGTTGCAGACCCAATTATTTTGTTCAATAAGAATCAAATCAAGAATTCCTGTAAAAGTGCCATCTTGCATTTGAAAACTTCTATCTTGTATTCAAAAGTATTTGAGGGCATCAATGTGTTGAGTTAGAAAACAATTCTCAACTGTATTTACAAATGCATTTAAGTTATTAAAATGAGTTTAAGTTATTAAAAATGAAGATAGCAACCCCACAGGCTCTTCTACCATCACTTCTGTCCCATCTATATAATGAATAGTTATTTAGATTGGAAAACAAGTCTTCTTTAAACCATGTTTCAGTGATTCAATGATGTGAGGTTTATACTTATTTTTGCTAATATAAATTTATAATTGCTTATGTAAATTCTTTAAATTTATTTACAAGTGATGTTGTGTTAGTATACCAGCAACGCAAGTTCTCATGCTGTTGGTTTGAGTTGGTTTGAGAGTCAAAACAGCATTTAGTTTACTGCATTTTGTTCTAGGCTTGAAGCCAAATAATTTTTCTGCTTCGGTCAAGTCTGGATTTTTAAAGACTTTATCATATAACTTATTTGATTTAAGTTGTCTAGCTGCTATAAGAAGTGGGTTACAGGAAGACTGCAAGCTCTACAATAATTAGGCCAGGTTTATCATTGCTTTTAGAGTAAAGTCTTCTAATTAATGTTGGTTTAAGATCATGTCAATCAATCAAGTATGTTGTCAATCTCAACTTTATCATCAGCTGCTTTTTCAGAACTAGTTTTTTTAAAGTTTGGAGCACCATAAATTATGACATTTTTTTATCTTTTTTTGCGTTGTTCAATAAATACTGCGTTGATAATTTTTACCTGTTCTTCAGGTTTTTTCAAGCTTTTCTTCACTGCTAATACCCAGTCTTAAATGAACAAGGTTGGTTTTTCTATTGTACTTTTCTGTTGTTATTTTTTTGATTAATTCTTGAGTTCTTCTCATTTTCGAGGAATGCCTTTTAGTAGATTTATATTGGCATTCTCTTTTTGAACCATTTATCAAAATTGGCTAATGTAGATTTTTCATTTAAATGATAAGTTTTTGAATATGAATCTGTCATTTAATTATATTGCAATTAATAAAAAACTTTTGCATTTTGAATATAGTTTGAATACAGTTTATTTTTTCTTTTAATACATTTTTTTTTAAATAATTATTTTCGTTAGTTTTTAGTTTTTATTTGTATATTTGATACTAATTTCTTTTCTTTATTTATTATCATGGTTGCCTAGGTAATAGTGGTATTGTTAATAAGATGTTGTTGATTGATATAAGATAATGTTTCTTTAATAAGATTTTATTATAAACTGTCCCTCAGAAATAAATGTTCCTGAATTAATATGGTTAGTTGAATACTAATATGCAATATTAGAATATGCCAAGCAAAAATCCAAAAAACAAACTTCAGTTCACCAGTTTTTGATAAAACACAACAGGAAAGCAGAAAAGTATACCAGTACCAGTAGAGTATACCAGTAGCAGTAATCGATAATTTGCTTCAAATGGCAAAAACAAACAACTTAGCTAGCATTGTATATGTATGTATAACTCTGAATAATTTCACTAAGCTTTAAAACATGCCTGATCACTGCAATAGTGGAAGTTATAGTAATAATGTAATATTCGCACTGTAATAGCGAAAATTTATAATTATTTTATCAAAAATAATTATTTCATTAAAAATAATATAAGATAGTAATACCTTTAATTTGTTTCAGGTTTGTTTTTGAACAAGTCAAATTATGATTAAAGATACAACAGAGTTGTCAGAATTCAAATTGTTTGATGATCCTCTTTTGATTTTAAAATGGTCAAAACCATTTTTTTTCTTATCAAAACCATTTTTTTTTTTTTAATACAATGGGTTATGCTTTTGCTAGTTGCTCAACTCTACTAAGTTTAACAATTTTTCTCATACAAAAGAAGGCTAAATATAGTTTGGCTAATGTTGCAGGGTTTTGACATAAATTAGCATCAAGTAAACAAAAGAAATTCAATTGAGTAATAAATGGTAGAGTCATATTTATGATTTGAGTAATACAATCATATAACCTTAGCTTCTGCTAAGGTTGCTTCTTTTTATCGTGCTCGCCATTTCCTTACTTCTGATTCCATTCTCTACCTCTACAAATCTCTTATTCGTCCCTGTATGGAATACTGTTGTCATATTTGGGCTGGTTCTTCTAACGATTCACTTTCTCTTCTTGACAAAGTCCAAAAACGCATTGTAAACGTTGTTGGACCTGGACTATCTGCTAAGCTTGAACCTCTTTCCCATCGTCGTAAAGTTGCATCTCTTTCTCTTTTCTACAAATACTATCATGGTCACTGCTCAAAGGAGTTATCATCTCTAGTTCCATCAACTAAAATTCATTCTCGTTTTACTCGTCATTCAGCTAAGTCTCATTCGTTTACTGTATCTGTCCCTGCATGCTCTAAAAACTTTTATTCATCTAGTTTTTTTCCCCGCACTTCAATCCTTTGGAACTCTCTCCCATCTTCATGTTTTCCTGACTCATACAACCTTCAACTTTTCAAGTCTTCTGTCAACCGTTTCCTTGCTCTATAACTATGTTCTTTTTTTTCCTAGTAACTCCCAACTTAATAGTGGTTGCTTGCAGCCTTGTTGGGAGTGAATGCAAATAAAAAAAAAAAAAAAAAAAAATTTCTAAATCCATAAGAGTTAGGCAACTTTGGGAGTCAAATCACAACTCATTGTAACAGAACAGAAGTTTGTTGTAAACATTTTATATTTATAATATGGCATTCAAAAATTTTAAATTGGGTTATCTTTACATTTTTGGATTTAGAACGTTCAAAAGTTGGTCAGGTAGCAGTTTTATTCTTCCACTAGTAGCTAAATCATTAGTCAATAAACATTACAAAATTTTTGATGGCAAACTTAAAGAAGAACAGGCCATTTTAGGTTGAATTAGAAAATACCATAACTTTTGAATGACTGTGAAAAGTTTTAATTTTTTGTTCTTCTTTTATGTGGAATTACACCCTTATCCTTTTTAATGGAATTTCACCCTTACCCTTTTTAATGGAATTTCACCCTTACCCTTTTTAATGGAATTTCACCCTTACCCTTTTTAATGGAATTTCACCCTTACCCTTTTTAATGGAATTTCACCCTTACCCTTTTTAATGGAATTTCACCCTTACCCTTTTTAATGGAATTTCACCCTTACCCTTTTTAATGGAATTTCACCCTTACCCTGGATTTCCTTACATTAGTTTTTATGATTTAAATTAAAAAATTTAGATTTTTGAAATTTTTAATTTTAATTGTTTAATCCTTTCTTTTTAATTCTTTCTTTTTAATTGATTAAAGTGATGCAGTAGCAACCAACTTTTTGAGCTTGGTAATTGAAGGATTTAATATTTTCAGAGAGCAATATTATCAACAATATACGCAATACCCAATGTCATCATCAATAAACTTAGTACCCATTGTCATCAACAATATTATCAACAATATGCTCAGTACCGAATGTTATCAGCAATATTATCAACAATAATAATCTTATTACATATTCTTTATATTAGAATAGAATAATACTTTTAAAATAATTTTCTTGTTAACATAGTAGTTTTTCAGTTTTTATATGAAAAAAACTACTATGTAAACAAATAATTCTATTTTGCTGATATTATTTGATATTTTACTGTTGTTATCACTATTTTACTAAAATTAGAATTGATTTAAGCTGTCGGTGAAGATCAATAAGTGTGCAAATGTTTTAAAGTTTAATTCGTTGAATTTGTCAATTCCTAAATTTAAGTAAAACATCTGAAATTGAAGTTTACTCATAACAGTTACACATAACTATTGTCATCGTTTTATGTTCCTTTTTTCCATCTTCTTGTAATGTGCTTTTTTCAAAGTAAATAAAAAGTTTCCAAACAGAACTTTCATGTTTCCTATCAACCAACAGCTTTGATAAACTCCTTATTCTATTATTGATTGGTTTTTAAGTCTTTAGAATCTTTAGATAATTAAGTTTTTTAATTAAAGATTGAGTATAATGTTGACACATCAATAGTCAAACATAAAAGAAGTTCATAACATGGCAAACAAAACAGAGAGCACATAACCAGCTCTGCAATTATGACATGTGCGCCAAAAAGCTAGTATGTAAAATTTGTAAATTGCCAAAAAAAAAACATTTAGTATAATATTTTTTTTTTGTATTCAATAATTTTTGTTCCATATTAATTAATAATTTTATTCCTATTTATGTTTCTATTGTTAATATTTAACTTTATTTCAGTTTATATTTTTCAAATAGTTCCTAATTTCAGTTTCTTTTCACATTAATGAAATCAATTATTTTTACTTCTAATTTTACTCAATATTAATGAAAATATCACTGCTTCTGAGCTATGGTCAGATCGCTAAAATAATCACTGAATGAGGTTAGTGGCAAGGTTATTGATCTTTTTTTTTTAAATCTTGTTGCAGAATTGATCATCTTTATTAAAGACATTCTGATTTGACTTCATGAGATAAATTAAATCAATGTTTCTCTTTCAATGATTCTATTTTCAAATAGCTGTTTACAAGTTGACTTAAAGGTGTATTAGCTTCATTAAATTTTTTTTTCTTATAAATTCAATCACAATTTCAGAATATAAAAGATCAGCATCTCATTTTGAAAGAGTGTTAAAGGCCAATTTTAGTGGTTTTAAGGCAACATAAAGTTCATTAATGTCATCAAACTCATTCTTTAGTTTAAGGATAATCAGTATTCATACCAATCAAAGCTATTTTTACTTCTGTTTGCATTTCCAAAAAACTATAATGCATATCAATAGTACTGCTCAATCTTGTCCTTTAATCACAAATCAAAGCCTTTTTTTTTTTTACAAACTTTTTAACTATATTTGGTTGAAGTTCTTCATTATGACTCACTGGTGATCTACAAAACTTTTTAGCTAGTTTTCTTATTTTTTTGGCAACAATTTCTTGATATTCATGTTTCAGAAATGAAATAGAATCTCCACTGCATGAACAGTTTGAGTATTTTTTTTTTAATTTGAATTCACTATTCCAAGGTCATGTAGACCACTACAGTCGAGGAGGTAACTTTAGTTGTGGTTACAACCCTCTCAACTCTATAACTTCGAAACACAAACCTTTACGAACAAGGTGCTGTGCAGAGAAACAAGTTGATTATCATCATCAGCTTCAGTCCAATCTGCATCATCAATTTAATCTCAATTGGAATTTATAGCTTCTATATAACCATCAACAGATTTATCACAACCATATGCATCAACCTTATTTTTTTTTAAAGCACATCAACCACACATAGGTGAATAGCATAGTTGTAACACATTTGTTGTTCAAGTTTAGTGTCTTGACCAATTTTTTTCATCAAGCTAGCTTCAACAGAAGCTACTATGTCTTTGTCCAAATTTAAATCAAATAAATTAGTCTTATCACTGATCAATTTAATCCAATTCCAAAAGATTGAAATCCCTCATTGTAATTGTATATTTAAGATCATATAGCTTCTGTTTTTTACTAATGTATATTCATTAAATGTTAGACATAATTGGTCTTTATCTTGATGTCTGATTTAAAAAAAAATTATAACTTGTTTCTTGACTAACATGAAGTATTTAATGACAAGATTGCGAAAAGTTTGAAGACTTTAAGGGATTTGGAATCCCTGAGCCAGAAATGGTGATTTTAAAGTTTTATTTTTCGCAATGGTGTGAAAGCTAACTCCATCAATAGCTGTTAGTTTACTAAATTTCAGGCATATTTTATGGTCATCCATAAAAATATTTTAAATTCCTAGTATTTTGGCAGCAGGGATGTTTCTTGCAGTCTCAAACGCCAAGTTATTGCATTTAAAAATTTCAATTTTGTGTTTTATTGTTAAATGCTTTGTAATAGATGTTGTTGTTGAGCCAAGTGTTTTAAGAATAGTTTTACAGGTTTTGCACTTACAACACTGTAGTTCCTCAGAAAATTTAAAATAGCCTTATGTCTCAGATATTGTAGTTGTGCTTACATCTTTATACTTATTTATTGTTTTGTACAACTAAAACTTATATTAGCTTAAAGATCAACTGGACTTTTTTTTAAATCAAAAATTTCAATGTCTTTTTTATAGGTTACCATGGGATTTCTTCAACAATTAAAAATATTTAACACAACTATTTTTTATGCTTGTTACTTTTAAATTTTTAATCTTTTAAAATAAAAATAGTTAAGTGCATTATGTTTTATACATATATACTTGTATAAATATATATATATATATATATATATATATATATATATATATATATATATATATATATATATATATTTATATATATATATATATATATATATATATATATATTTATATATATATATTTATATATATATATGTATGTATATATATATATATATATATATATATATATATATATATATATATATATATATATATTTATATATATATATATATATATATATATATATATATATATATATATATATATATATATATATTTATATATATATATTTATATATATATATGTATGTATATATATATATATATATATATATATATATATATATATATATATATATATATATATATATATATATATATATATATATATATATATATATATATATATATATATATATGTATATATATATGTATATATATATATATATATATATATATATATATATATATATATATATATATATATATATATATATATATATATATATATATATATATATATGAAGTGGGGGGGCATAACCGCATATGGAGGCACAACCGTTTTTTAACATTTCATATTGAAAAATATTATCTAATATGGCAAAAAACCACACGTTTGTAAAACAGTTTCCTTCATTTCGTTTATGTTAAAAAGAGTGCCTGTTATGTTTCTGAGAAGTTGTGCATTTAAATGTTTATTTTGATAAAAATATTATATTTACATCATATTTTTCCAGACCTTTTTTTTGAGGAATAAGTAATATTTGATGTTAGTATAAAAGATATATGTCATCAGCATTATTTTATTAAGTGAAAATCATTTTTAATATCATCATAGCTTAATAAGCAAGCTATGAAACTGTATTCTTTCTAAAAACTGTACTCTGGGGCAGAACCGCATAGACACACAAGAGGCACAACTCTATAAAAATATATATATATATATATATATATATATTTATACATATATATATATATATATATATGTATATATATATATATATATATATATATATATATATATATATATATAAAATATTATTATTGAAGTTTTTTTAAAATGGCAATGTTCAGACATTGGAATTTGAACATATTAAAACTGGAAGCCTTAATAACTATGTTTATAATCACTTTTTTTTTTTTTTCAAACTTAAAAAATTATATTATAAATGTGAAATAAGTTTTCTGTTATAATTTTTTTTCCTTTCTATTTAGGGTACTTATTCTGGACAGTTTGCTATGGAGGTATCTAAATTATTTTTTTAATTTGAAATATCAATTTGGATAATTTTATGAAGTTTGTTGCAAAAGTTTCTTTTTTTTTTTTTTTTTTTTTTTTTTTCTAACTTCATATATTTTTATTTTATTTATGCCTATTATTTTTATTTTTTTATTTTTTTATTATATGATTATTAGGGTGTCTCAAAAAAAAAAAAAAAAAAAGCCCTCTACTGATTCCTATTATATGTGACCTAAATAAGTACTAAAAAAAATTTGACGTTTTATTTTGACAGGAAGTGCTAGATGTAAAATCTGAGTTTTACTGTTTTAATGTTAAGCTGGCTTAACATTAATAGAAAACACATTTTAGAAAATTAAAACAAAACAATTAGATGGGTATAAATCATTTCCAATTGTTTTCTACTATTTAACTTGATAGATTATATTTATAAATATGAAAATACAAAAAAAATACATGAAAACTAATATTTATTAGCAAATTTAAGATTTTATTGCGGTGAAACATTTCTCAAAAAATACAACTTTTTGAACAGTTCCCAAGCTCCTTTTTAGTCATAGTCTTAGTCAAGTTTTTTCTAGACTTTTTAACTACAAAAAGTACATTTTGAAGGTGATCTTCATCTCTAGTAGCTGAAATAAAATCTTTAATGAGCTTAATGTTTCTTTCTGCACCATCATTTACAACAGATATGTTTTTGATCCATGCAATAAAATCTAGCAACTGAGGATGGTTAAAAACATCTATAGTATTAAGACTATTATTAAGCCATTCTTTTATACTTGCTCTTAATATTTTAAATGTTTGAAGAGTAGGTAGCTTTGCTCGGAAATCAACTCAGGTAGCTCTGTGGTCTCTCCAATTTGTACATTTGATGGTTTACAACGCTGAAATTCATTTGGCTCTTCAAACTCAATCAGAGCTAACAGCATTCTTAGCTTTGTTTTAGAAGGAACTTCTTTATCCCCAAAGAAAAAAAACACAGAGTTGCGGAGTTAAGTACCACATATGGCATCCCATGCTGAAAAGCAAAGCATTTCCAATATTCTTACTAACTTTTCTCAATGCATAGGCTGTCTGGATAGCTTTCAAATCAATGTAGGGAGCCAGAAATCCTAAAAAACTTTTTAAAAACCATGGAACATAGCAAATTGCAATGAACAAACTTGCATCCTTCAACTGCAGCATTTCTTTTTCTGTCAAGATATTGCTGATATCTTTAGTCATATAAAGAGTCAGGATGTAGGTCGCATCTGCTAAAAACCTTGCCTCATGGCAGGCGCCAGGTTGATGGAACTTAAAATCTTGAACTTCCACTCCAAGGAAGAAGGAGGCAAGCTTACAAACTATACCATAATCATTCCTTGAAAACACTATATCAGTAGTTGCATTAGTCAAAAATGTCTTAGCTTCCTCTGCAACAGTGCGAAGAACAGAGCCAATCTTCAGATCATCTCTTTGCCAGTCCAATTTACATAAATTTTTCACTTCATTCACTTTCTCACAGATTTCAGGCCACTTGTTCTTTAGCTTGACATAAAGAGCTCTTCTTGGACCTTTAGTTTTCTCACCAGTAAGAGCAGCCATATAGTGAGATACATGTACTTCATATATGTGTCTCCTACACATTATCCACAAAATTGGTAATTTCAAAATATCTGTAAGAATTTGGACTGCTCCATTTACTCCGCCTGTATTGCTTGCAGTTGTATCACAGCATATACCAATGATCTGCTCTTTACATCCGTAATATTTTAAAAGATTGTGCACTTGTTCTGCTTGGTTAACTCCCTTTGAAGAGGGACATTGAACAACACCTAAAAGATGGTCTTCCATGGTATCGTCATCGGGGAACTCACTGAGACTGCAAGTCGCTCAATTTTTTGAATAATGTTAAGCCCAGTGGTAATTTGTTTCAACAGTTTGGTATCAAATGAAGAATAAGCTGTCGTCTTTAAGATGATTAGATATTGAAATCCACTCCAAGTCTCCTTCAAGTTCTACATATTTGAACTTTTTTCTATGAAGTGTGCTTCGTGAAAGCGGTATATAATTAATTTCTATACCTCCAGCTTTAAATACTTCACTTAAAATTGCCAGATGAGGTCGTACACCAACATTGAACCTTGTTGCTGGAATAGCAGTACATTCAATGAGCTTTTCAACATTCACTGCTAGATTTATCTTATCTCCAGAATTGTACCTAGGTATCATTTTATAATATTTTTCTACCTATTTATAATTATATGCTTTTCAATAAAACAGCTTTAGCTTGTGAAAATTACAACTATGTTATTAAAATAATACTATACCTGCCTTTCTGACCGTTACCCAGGAAATCATCTTCCTCGCTGATTTCAGAGTTCTTGTTTGACTTTTCTTCCTGAATCTCTTCTGTCATGGAGTCATGTGACAACAAAACATTATTGATATCTTTTAAGTTTTTCTGTCTCTCTAATTCTTTTTCTCTCAACTTATCTAGCTTGCTCTTTCTTCTGTTTGCATCCAGTACTCTTCTACTGTAGTCTTCATCGACTTTTGTTTCCATATATCTTTTCCTATGTAACTTCTGGTCTTCATAAAAACTAAGAAATATTTAAATCTATTAAGCCATTTATAAATAAATTAATAATTGTTCTAGTTTTTCTTGGAAGATGACCAAACCATGTAAAGAGTTAAACGTAAATATTTTAAAGGAAATAATATGCTATTACTTAAGTTACTTTTAATTGGAAAAAAAATCTCACTACTAAAAAAAGTGTTATTTAATGAACTTACTTTATATCTTCCAGCTTGGCATCATCTGTTCTCAATCTATCAGCAAGAATATCTTTTTTAAAATTCTTAGTCGAGATGTCAAAAAGCTGATAGGATTCTGTGAGAAAATCTTTCTCTAACTTTGATTGCTTATCAAGACTGCTGTTCCAGTTTAGAGAAGACAATTTAATCAATTTCTTGTATTTTAAATTAAGTTTAATGATTTTGGTCTTTATATTGTACCCACAAATCACAAATTTCTTGCCAAACCCAGCATTATCCCAATTTTTTTTAATCCTAGATACCAAGCAAGAATTATCAGGATCTGTACAAACACCATTTTCACAAACAAGATCCTTGGATTTCGATTTCAATTTGCAACCAACATTAGTAGAAGTGGGTTTGTATTTAACTTGTGACTTGCGAAGGATAAATTGATAGTATCTAAGAATATCACCATTAGATGGAAGCTGTCTCTGAGGTAACTCCCTCAGTGGGTACTTCAATAGGTAAATATACCTCAACCTTTCTGTATTTTTCCGTTTTTTCTTATTCTGTCCTATCGTCTTTTTTTTTTTAGCTGTTCTACCCATCTTTATATGAATTTCGAAATAATCAGTTTTTTAACTTAATTTTTACTAAATGTTACACTTGCATCAAAAATCTATGAAGTCGTTATTCCCTCTCGTATAATATTTTATCTAAGTTTACCGTTACAGCTTTTATAACCATTTACACGAGAATTTCTTCGTGCACAAATTAGAATTCCGTTGTGCACAAATAATTCCATTTAGAAATTTTTTCCTTCAAAAAAAATTTCTAAATGGAGTTATTTGTGAACCAATCCATGGGGAATTATACCAACTAATAATATTGTCCAGAGGGAAAAATATCAATCGCTAACAATGTTCATAGGGAATGATCCTACTCTTTAATAATATCCTATGGGAATTATTTGTGTACTAATTATTACATCATATTAAAACATATTGAAATACTAGATAGCGCTGTTTTTTAGTAAATACACATATGTGTACAAAACCGTAAAACTCAGAATTTACATCTATCACTTCTAGTCATTAAAAAGTTAAAAAAAAGATTTTGGTTGCTATTTAGGACCTATAGAATGGGGATCAGTTGAGAGCACATTGAAATTTTAAAAAAAGTGTGTTTTTGGGACACCCTAATGATTATATTTAATATTTTCCTCATTTAAAAATTTATTGGTTTTAAAAGGTAGTTTTTTTATAAAGGGTTTTCTTAAATTAACATGGCCTCGGTGGAGACGTGTTTTGGTTACACGAAGCATAGCAATTGTGCCAGCTCTTACAGTAGCTTTTTCTCAAGGTATTGAACGGTTGACAGGAATGAATGACTTGCTAAATGTTCTTCAGAGTTTACAGGTTTGTTTTATCATAAATTCAAACTGGGGGGTAGCTTGAAACTTGAATCTGTGTTCACATGTCTTAAATTCTTTGAAACAATTGAATATTAAAAAAAGTTTTATACATTTAAAAAATCTGTTAAAAATAATGTATTTATTCTTTAAAAATTTTTGTTTTAGTTACCTTTTGCTGTTCTTCCTCTTCTAACTTTTACAAGTAATAAAAAAATTATGAATTCTTTTGTTAATTCAAAGTAAGTTTGACTTAATTCAAAGTAAGTTTGGCTATTTTGTATTATAAGTTTATTTTCTAACAACCATTTAACACTTTTTTTTTAAATAATTTTCCTTTAACTTTTCTTGTTGTAAAATAATAAGCTCTTGTTGTAATAATAAGCTCTTTGTAGAACTATGTAGCTATAAATATGACTATATATGCCATAATAATATAAATATGACTATATGAGCTATAAATGTGACTATATAAGCTATAAATATGACTATATAAGGTATAAATATGGCTATAAAAACTATAAATATGACTGTATATGCTATAAATATTACTATATAAGCTATAAATATGACTGTATGAGCAATAAATATGACTACATTTACATATATATATATATATATGTATATATTGATTTTTTTTAGTTTAAAAATGTTGTTTATAACGAATAAAAAAAAATCAAGTAAAAACTAATAGAGGAGAGTTTTAATAAGCTTAGGGTGGTTGGGAAATATTTTCAAAAATAAATAAATGTCCTCTCATGTATTAAGCATCTAAGAGTACCATCAACAATGCCACAAGGATTCTAACAATTGCTATCTAGGATGCCACAAGGATTGCGATTTAGGATGCCACAAGGATTGCGATTTAAGATGCCACAAGGATTGCGATTTAAGATGCCACAAGGATTGCGATTTAGGATGCCTCAAGGATTTCCAAAATATTTATTTTGTAGTAGTGTTTAGGTAATCCATAAAAAATGTATTTTTAGAAATGAATTTAGTTTTCAAGTAATCAATAGAAAAAGGTTTATATAGAACAATTGATAATTATTTATTTTATTAACCATTTTATTAAACTGATGTGAATCAAATTGAATGCAGTTAAGTAAACAAAAATCAAATTGAATGTAGTAGTAAATGTAGAAAGTAGTTAAATGGAAAAACTATTAGTTAATACCCAAAATAGTTTTATATAAAATATCATTTATCTTTTATCTTCATTGTTATCTATTCATATTATCAAAAATCTTAATAATATATATTAAAATTTTAAACAATACAGAATAAATGTGTAAATTTGCATTCTGAATGTAATGCATTTGAATTTTGGATTTTGACATAATTTACCTATAAATTTTTTCAAAATTCCAACAAAAGCAAATTTTTAACTTAACCATAACTATACATGTTACGTTAATATTTTGAAAAACCAAACAATTATCTGTAACTACTGCAAAATGTATAATGATATGTATAAAATTTAACTGCTGTGTTTGCGGAGAAGTTAATAATATTTACAATCTTTTCACAATTAGGGAATTCATATTTATCCTATCTTCATTCTTCAAAGGTTGACAAAATGGAGATAATTGATAGCTTATACTACTCATTTTAGATTCATAAATTGTATAACATGGCTAATAGCACTTCTTATCATTTCAATAAACTTGTTCTTTGCTGCAGATTACCTTGTAAGTTTTATATATTCATAATGAAAATGTATATACATATATCTGGCTTGGTAAAAGAAGTGTCTAAGTAACTTTTTTGCAAAATTGACTTTTTTAAACCATTTTCCATAAAATATGTCAGACTAATGAAAACCATTATTTCTGGATCAAGAAATGCATGTTACCTTTTTAAACTCTAAATATGTGCAAGAATTACCTAAGAAAACATAAGTAGTCTTGATACTTATAAAAGTTAGTTTGAAAATGAACTAAATAGTCTTAGGTAAATTATATTTCATTTATTAAGAAATTTCAAGATAAAAGCATTACGTATATCATTTATTTATATCTAAAAAATTGAAAGTCATAAAATTTCTTCCGCTGAAAAGCCATTTATATTGATACAGACACTTCTTTTACTAGGTCAAATATACATAAATATATATATATATATATATATATATATATATATATATATATATATATATATATATATATATATATATATATATATATATATACACTCACACACATATGTATAAATATATATATATATATATATCATTTTTTTATATTTTTTTAATGTGTGTGTATATATATATATGTGTTTATATATATATATATATATATATATATATATATATATATATATATATATATATATATATATATATATATATATATATATATATATATATATATATATAACCCTCGGAATTAGGGTCAGCATTCGGCAATGCCGATCTAAATAATAAAGTGTTTGAGATCAGCAAATAATTGCCAACCTCATTTCTATGTTTTATGGTGAGACCTTTGTATCAAATTTTTTTTGCCGACCTAAGAAATTGAGGTCAGCAAATTATTGCCAATCTCGTTTTTCCTAATTCCGAGGGTTGTATATATATATCGATGTTTAATATTGTATTAAAATAATAATACAAAACGTTTTCTTGTTTCGTCTCCATAGAGACATCAGATGTCGCTCCACTGTATTTTGTAATTTTATTAAAGTTTTCTGGTTTGTTTTTGATATAGTAAATGGCTGATGATTGCCGTATAGGCATGAAACTTATAGTTCCATGAAAAGTTGTTTTTTCTCTCTGTAAATATATATATATATATATATATATATATATATATATATATATATATATATATATATATATATATATATATATATATATATATATATATATGTATATATATATATATATATATATAAATATATATATATATATAAATATATATATATATATATATATATATATATATATATATATATATATATGTATAGATATATATATATATACATATATATATATATATATATATATATATATATATATATATATATATATATATATATATATATATATATATATATATATATATATATATATATATATATATATATATATACACATATACATATAATTGCTCAACTATAAACAAAATATTATAGAAAAGCAAATTATTAATATTGCAAAATGATATACATATATTATATATATATATATATATATATATATATATATATATATATATATATATATATATATATATATATATATATATATCATTTTGCAATAATAATAATTTGCTTTTCAATAATATTTTGTTTATAGTTGAGCAATTACTTCTTATGTCTCATTTCTTATATTCTAGACAAATTAGAGGGTTTGCTTTCTCAGGTACCAATTATTTAAGTTCAAAATCTTGTGAGCAATGTATGGTGCACTTTTCAAACCACTAGTTTTTTGAGAACATATATACCTTTCAGTTTAATTTTTCCATCAATGGATCATATTTGAGTTTAATTTTGTTTAGTGGTTTGAATTTTTCCTGGATCACTTTTGATTTTTTTTAAATGATATAGTTTATATTCTTGAGATTTTGAGTAATTTTCTTTCAAGATCTCTCAGATGGATTTGTGTTTATTAGCAAATGATTGATTTTGATCTATATTTATCTTTAAATTTTTCTTTTTTTCTTTTTGCGTCCTACTTTTCTTTTTAAATTCAACTGAAGATTGAGCAACATCAGTTATAAAATGTCAGCTAATGGCAAAAAAAGATTTTGAAGAAAAATTTGCTAAACTTTTTCTCAATTTATCGGGTGGACACGGAAAAATCCGATCAACTTTTAATTGAGATTTCTCCAAAACCACAAATGCTTTTTATTTAATTTTTTTTTTTAATTAAACCTTTCTTTCTTATCTTAAATGGTGTTGATAAGTTTTTGTTTACAAATTAATGATTTGCAAAATGTTTTGGAAACAAATTGAGGTGCATAAAAAAATTGTGAATTTTTTTTGCAAAAATCCATTGACTTCCTATCTCTTGATAGCTAAACGCACAAATGTCCCAAAATCTACAATTTTATGTTCAATAGCAAGAAATCCAAACCAGTCACAGCGAGATCTAGCAAGAAAATTCAAGACTTCTCGTTCTTATATCAAAAAAGTACTTAAAAATGCTGGAATTAAAGCATTTCATAAAAAAAATACACCTAAGAGAAGCTTAAATTGTGAAATTCAAGGAATTCGACGTGCAAAGAAGTTGGTTAAAATAATGGCGGACAAAAATGTGTGCATAATTGAAGACGACGAGACGTATTGCAAGGCGGATTTTTCACAACTTCCTGGTCAACAGTTTTACTATGAAAAAAAAGATAAACCTGTCGATGATCAATTTAAATATATTCGACGAGATAAATTTGCATCAAGTTGCTTGTGTGGCAAACAATTTGTAGCTGTGGTATGCAGTCCTCTTGTTTTGTCACTAAAAAGACCTTGACTTCCAATTTCTACGTCAAAGAATGCCTCCAAAAAAGACTTTTGCTTTTTATAAAAAAATACAAATACCGATGTCTCTTTTGGCCCGATCTTGCTGCCTCTCACTATTCTAAAAAGTTCTACAGTGGTGCAAAGATAATAATGTGAAAATTGTTCTTAAAGGGATCCCAAACTCCCGACACATGTTGTGTTCATATTAAAGATAATGTTAAAAATAAAGGTTTGAACCAAGTTTTTTTGATTAAAAATAAATAATGAATGCATACCGAGAAAACTAATGTTGTTGTTTTAGCCGAAGCTCGCCTTCTCCATTTTTTTCAATAACTTAGAGTCTTTAAATTATACGTCGCAATCTACAGACTTTGGCGATTGCTTTGAAGCGCGTTTAATTCATAAAAATTTTAGTATTTGACGTCACGGTAGACTTTTAACAAATGAAACTCTTGAAATATTTTTATTTGAACTTTTTTTGATTATTTGTATAGTTTTTTTTTTATATTTTTAACATTTAGAAAGATATTAAAAACCTCAAATATTTTATGCTGGTTCGTTGCTATAAATTGTTATTGCGCCATATATTTAATGGTTATAAATTATGAATATTTATTATCTCAATCAAGACTCTGATAAAATATTGTTTTACATTAATTACTCTTATAAAATTAGTAAAAGCATTTTTATTTTGTTAGATAATATTTCGTCTCAATTTGCTTTGCATGAAGTTCGGGAAGTCAAGCGAAAAAAATTAGTTTGAATAATCACTTTGAAATATATTCAAAACAAATTATTTTAATGACGGGGTTTTTAATAACAAATGTAGGTAAACAAATTGGGAAATACCAAATATAATAAGTTTTTTAACGCGCGTTATGACATTTTGACAATTTAAATTACCATTTATCTTGAATTATTGCCATTAATTAATGTGTTAATTATTGCGTTATATAAAAATAATTTGTCCGTATTTTTGTTAAATATTAGTTGTATAAAACAGGCGAAAATATACAAACTTCATGTTTTTATTTGATGGTTATAAAATATTGAACAGTAAACTAATAATCAAAATTTATAATGCCGACTTGTGTTGTTATTAATTGTACTTTTAATGCAAAACCTCTCGCATATCCTTTCTCACATATGCTTTCACGAATTTGCATATCTGATACTACTGTCAACTGTATTGTTTAGTGTATTCTTGTACTTTTTTTACATAGCCTTAACAGGTTCTAATTGGTATGGAGTTGCCGACATTTTAAAAGTTTCATTATCAAAAATCAAATGTAAAATAAAATGATATTTCCTTTTTATCCGTATCCAATTTAGCAAATTTAGCAATTTAAAATAAATCAGCGTAATCAAAAAAATTTTATAATAAAAATTTTTTTTTTTTTTTTTATTTATCATATATCTCTAATTAATACTGTCAGTTTATGAAATTATTTGTTAATACTTTTTTTCGACGGGAAAACAAAAAATATCATAGCGTAAAAATAAACAGAGAAGTTAGAAAAAAGTTCCCATTGTTTAAATAAAAATAAGTAAGATTCAGAATATATAATACTGCGCTCTCTTGCACAAAAACGAGAGATCGTATACATAATGTTCTATATAATGTAAAACACTCATCTGAAAATCATAAGATTCGTAAGTAAAGCTTTAATATTTGTTTCAATTTAAAAACAAAAGAAATATAAATAAGATATATAAATCTAAAAATTATTAAGATATCGGTAAAAAAAAAGTTCCTCTTATGAAATAAAAAGCTTTTATTATTTTTGATTTTTACAAAAATTTGTTGTAAAAGTTGTTTTGTTGTATGTTAAAAATTTTTTTTTGAAAACGCAGATTTGTTAAATTACACTTTTGTTTTGTTAAAAATCTACCGTGACGTCATATGCTAAAACTTTTATGAATTAAACGCGCTTCGAAGGAATCGCCAAAGTCTGTCGATTGCGGCGTATAATTTAAAGACTCCAAGTTATTAAAAAAAATGGAGAAGGTGAGCTTCGGCTAAAACAACAAAATTAGTTTTTCTTGGTATGCATTCATTATTAATTTTTAATCAAAAAAACTTGGTTCAAAACTTTTTTTTTTAACATTATCTTTAATATAAACACAACATGTGTTGGGAGTTTGGGATCCCTTTAAAGATGCGAATCCTCCAAATCGTCCTGAAGAGCGCAAGATTGAAGATTTTTGGGCAAAAGTTAAAGGAGTTCTTTTTAAGACAGGTGGAGTAACAAATAATAAAAAGGACTTCCAAAAAAAAGAGGATTAATGCCACCTATATGGTGAAAAAAGAAAAAATCTGTGAAATGATGGCATCAACCCGCTATAAAGTTAATTTCTTGCCAAACAACCCATCAAGCCCCTTAAGTTGAAACTCTAATTTATGTAAACACATTTAATAATAGCATAGTCTTTTCAAGGGCCATCCAGGGCAAGAGAACTCTTTCCTAAGGAGAAAAAGCTAACAGCTATAGATATGCTCAAGGTTCAAAATGAAACTGGACTTTCTAATCATAGCATGAAAAAAACTTGCATCATTACTAAATCAAGCCACTCCTCATCAGATTGTTGAAAAAAAATTTTGTGACAAGTTTGAGTCACTTGGAAGGACTCTTTCAGAACAGTTCACTTCAAACCACATTCAAGACAACAAAGAAAGATTCAACTGGAGTAGTTGTTCACTGCAAAGTGTGTCTGTTATAGTAAATCATGTTTTAAAAGTCAGAAATATTCCTGGAGAACTATTGAATAAAGTGAGAATTGATGGTGGAGGTGGCATTTTGAAAGTATCGTTGAGAGTTATTGAAGCAAACAGAGAGGATTCTTTTCCTCCCTCAAAGGGTGTTGCAAAAAACACAGGTGTGAAGCGCCAGTTATTAATTGCTGTTTCTGAAAACCTACCAGAGAGTTATGAAAACTTGAAAAGTGTTTTGAATTTGCTCCAGTTGCAAAATATTTCTTTTGTTATTTCATGTGACATGAAAGTAGCGAATCTTATAACTGGACTAAAGTCTCATGCCAATGCTCATCTTTGTACATGGTGTGATGCAGATTAAAAAAAATCTTCTTGTCTGCAGGAAACCCAGAACATTTGGTTCCATTCAAGGTGACTTTGATGCATTTCAAAGGAGTGGGATAATTTTGAGAAGAGAAAAAGAGTTCAACAATATTGTTCACAAACCAATCATTTGCATGGACAATCAAACACTGGAAACCAATGGAGCTACATCTTCTTCTTGGAGTAGTAAATCATCTCTACAAAACATGTGTCAAACAAGTTTTGATGCCAATCAATGGCCTCTTGCTCTTCATATTTGGGAACAGCCTTTTCATGGAGGCCAATTTGCTGGAAATGATTGTCAAAAGCTATTGAAGCATACAAATGTTCTACAAAATCTGGCTGAACAAAGCTCTTCATTCAATGTCATGCTTTTTGTTAAAACTTTCAGATGTTTTAAAAGGGTTATGAATTTTTGCTTTGGAAATAATTTTTTTCTCAACTTTGCAGACAAGATCAAGGAGTTCCAAAGTTCCTTCTTGAAGTTGCCAAATACCTCCATCACTCCAAAGGTGCATGCAGTCTTTTTTCATGTGAAGTATTTTATTGACCACCACAAGTCAAGCCTTAGAGTATTTTCTGAACAGGCCAAAGAATCTTTCCATCACAACTTCAATGTACATTGGGAACGATACAAATATGAAACCAGTCATCCAGAATATTAAAAAGAAGCTTCTGAATTGTGTTGTAGACCTCAACAGCAAGCATTCATTTTAAATTAAAAGGGTCTTTTTCAAACCAAAATTAAGAATACTGTAATCTTAAAGAATTATTTCCCGATGTGATATTTTTATTCAGAAATGTGGTTTTGTATACATAAGAATGTTTCTTTTGTCAAACTATGAAATGACTTTTAAAAAGAATAATAAATGCTGCAAAAATGCAAAATCTGCTGTCATTATGCAATTTTTTAGGGCTATTAGCTTCAAAATTTAAAGTCAAAATATCTTTCTCTG